CTCACAATCACCTGTAATTCCCAACTCTAGGGATATCTGACTTCTTCTGACCCCTGAAGGGATCAACACTTATGTGCACAAAACTACATATAGCACACACATAAATACATAATTGAAAATAAAAAATAAAATCTTGCTGGGTGTAAAGACCAAAAAAAAAAAAAAAAAAAAAAAAACCTTAAAGGAATTTGTGTAAGTCATTCTTAAACACCTCAGAATTGGGAATCACAATCTAAGAGGCTGGTTAAATTACTCTTCTGAACTTCCATTTACTAATTTGTAGTAGTGACCCACAGAGGACAAGCCACCTGCACAATGCATGCAAAGGGGCTCCTTTGGATAAAGATCTGTACTAATGGTACACTGCTTCTCCTCACCTCCAAATACTCTTCCTAATTCTGCTAACACCTTCCATCTCCATCTCCTAGTCTCTCTCAAGGAAAAGAAGAGCTTCAGTTCTGCACCACCAGCTGAGGCCCCCCTCTGCAGTGCCAACACTGTTGCTAACTGTCCTTCCCAGTCTCTGTCTCCATAAATTTTGTCAAGACCTACCACATTCAAAGTCCTCCAATGGGTTGCAACCCACCTATAATCATCCTTCTGGCTAACCTTGGCAGCTTCAAGCAATCAACTGGCCTTTACAGTATCAGCTTTCACCACCTAGCACAAGATCCAAGTTTTGTGGCTTCCAAGTCTTCGAGTGGGCTTCTTTAGACTGGGAACACTGAATGAGCTGTACCATGTATCCCTTGGGAGACATGGCCCCCTTGGGCCTGAGTGATGACTCAGTGGGTAAAGATGCTTGTAACTAAGTCTGACAACCTGAGTTCAGTTGCTGGGACCCACATGGCAGAAGGTGAGAACTGACTCCTGCCAGTTGTCCTCTGACCTCCACATGCATACTGCAGCACATATGTATCCACACACATTAAAACAACTATAAACAGAACAAAATAAACAAGGCTCACTTCCACAAAATGAACATGACTGCTTCTCTCTATGAAATATCAAGTATCACATTCTTCTATGGCTCATTAACCTACACACATAGGGAGCAGAGGCTTAACATTAGTTCCTATGAGCCCCAGGAACTCATATTCTTAAAACTATTGAGAAGCTCTTTCTATAAGGAGAGGTTAAGGGGGCTAGAGAGATGGCTCAGAGGTTAAGAGCACTGGCTGCTCTTGCAGAGGTCCCAGGTTTGGTTCCCAGCATCTACACAGTAGCTAACAACCATCCATGATTTTCAGTTCCAGGGACTCCAATGCCCTCTTCAGGCCTCTTTGGGCACTGCACACATGTGGTGCACTTATATACATGCAGGCAAAACATTCATACACATAATAAAAAAATTTAAATACAGAACACAACTGCACATTTTTTGGTGCTGATTTTGAAATCAATCAGTTCTATTAATCTCATTCAATCATTTCTATGACATAGCTGGAAATCAGGACCACAGTTAATATCAGAATCACATTACAGCACATGAATGGATTAAGCTTCTTTTCATCTTCTTTATATCTCATACTATTCCTCTCAGTGTCTAGAATGTTTCTTGATTTATTTAACAAACATTTTACACTTATACCATGCCACAAGGTTAGACATAAGGAAAGCAAAAAGAGTAAGACAAAGTCCCTGTAGGTAAGGAACTGACAGGAGTTCTACAGTGTCACATACAAGTGTCTAGCAGTTACATACAGCCTGCCATGGAAAGAGACATGGAAGAGGTGAGGCTCCACAGGCACTGCCAGCTCCAAAGCACCTGCACCAGACCCTGGACATAGGAGCCACCAGCGTGGCTAACTGTAGACAGGAAATGATCAAAAGATCAAGAGCTCCAGGGAGGGATGATAGGGGGCAGGAAAAAGGGGGCATACATTCCAGATAAGGAGTCAACCATTTGTCAATGACGGGACAATGAGATAGGAATGAAGAAAAAACAAAACAAAACAAAAAACAATAGACATGAATATTGTGCAGGCTCTGAGTAACAGAAGTGGCCACATTCACAACACAGACTTGGGAGAAAAGTGGAATCCAATCTGAGGTGTGTTGGGTTTGAAGTACCTGCAGTATAGATGGAGACATCTAGTTAAGAGTCCACATCCAGGAAAACAAAGCTGTCATGGCTGTTAGAAAGGGAAGTAGGTGAAGACTAAGGCCTGAAAGCCAAAGGGGTGACCCACAGGAGAATGAATAGAGAAGACAAATGACCAACAGCAAAACCCCAAGTACATGGGCAGTTAATGCATGAATGGGGGGTGGGGCAAGCAAACGCAAAAAATCCTGAAGAGAAGCAAAAAGATGTCATCCTTAGTTAGGAACACGCCAGAGGTCCAGGCCTAAAACATGGACTGATAACTAAGACATCTGCAAAAACAAAATAAAACTAGTATATAGTCACATATTCCTAAGGGAATGGAAAGACATGCAGTTTATCAAGGGCTTTCTGGGTAACTGTTAAGGAAGATCTTTAGTGTTGGTACTTTGCAATTATTCAAGGATATGACTTAATTTAAAAAATACAACAAAAAAGTAATAAGACAAAGATGATGTCAGTCAGGGTTGTGAGTGCAGTGGGTAGAAGACAAAATGAAAAGTGAGCAAAGGAGACAGGAGAGCACAGGCAGGATAGAAACTGACTGAGAATCTTCTAGAATAAATAGTCCTGAAAAAGGTTTTGTTTTTCAGATGGGAAAGATCTGGCCATGCTTAAAGGCTGTGGGATAGAAGGCTGTAGGGAAAGTGCTCAAAGTCCAGGAGAAAGAAAACAAATACTTCTTTATTGCCGCCCATTACCTGACCAAGTCCTGTGCTCAAATAACTTACTTTCTACCAAGAAATCAGAGAACAAGCAAGTACTAATATCAGACAAGTGAGTGGTGCCAATGATAAAGCTCTGAGTAATGCCACTTTTTAATTTTTTAAAAAATTGTATGTGTATGTGTATGTGCCATAGCACGCATGTGGAGGTCAGAGGACAACTTTCAGGAGTCACTTCTCTCCAGGGATGGAACTTGGTTGTCTGGCTTCACCATTCCAAAATGCCACTTTTTAGACAGAATGCTGACACAAGGCTTCTGAAGAGTCCTGAACGATACAATTCCAGCTTTACACAGATAGCCAGCACCTCTACCTTACAGATGAGATTGAGGTTCCGGCAGATTAGGTAAGAGGTCTAAATTATGCAGCAAGGAAATGGAACCCAGATCTAACAAACACAGACCAATCGCCTTTCACTAAACTGTGTTTACTATTCAATTTTCCCAACAGTGAAGATCAACAGCAGCATTGTAATGGTGGTCTCTGGCCTCATGTTAAAGGACTACAGGAAAATAAGAGAAATTAGCACAACTTTCTCAATAGGAACCAAAAGCTATGAAATAAGAGATATGGTAGGAGCAGAGAATGATTTCTGAAGGTTCAGTGTTCAGTTCCAACACAAAAACATAGGCAAGGCTCCAAATTACAGACAGGCTTCACTCTAACAATGTCCAACTAAACTGTTGAGAAATCCCCAAAGATCTCCTTCATATAATTTTATGCAGTAATCATGTTTCCAGATTGGCCATGAAGACAGTTATTACTATCATAGTAACTAATAAAGCACCTACTACTATCAAACCCTATGTTAATGCTTTTTACAGTAGATCTCATGTAATACTAAGGCATTACTCCTCCCACCTTATGGAGCTGAAGACTGACGTCTGGGGAGTTGAGTGATTTGTTCATTGGCATAGTGCAAATAAACCCTGACACACACAGCCCACCGCCCCTACTCCAGTCATTATTTCTTAGTCTCAATGTTAGGTCCCAGAGTACCTTTCTAAGCTGTTCGATTGGTCAGTTTCTCGCCAATGCTAAAACATTCTTTTTTCCGGTGATTAGAATACTAAACATATTAGCACTTTCATCAACCTCTCTTCTCCTAAGTCTCTACCAAGCTTGTCTCTAAAACCTCAAATTGACAATCACTGGGAGTTTACATAACCAGATCCCTACAAGATAACCCTGAATGTGTTTATTCATTCAAAGTTACAAATCCCACTGGACAATGTCCAACCCATAACCTGTAAATACTAACGAAAAAATGCCATTTAAGAAAACGCAGGCAGCTGGGGGTGGTGGCGCACGCCTTTAATCCCAGCCCTCGGGAGGCAGAGATAGGCGGATCTCTGTGAGTCCAAGCCCAGCCTGGTCTAATTAGTGAGTTCCAGGACAGCTGGGGCTACAGGGAGACCCTGTCTGAAGAGATGGCTCAGTAAGGACCAGGGTCTGCAAGCAAAACACTTACAGACATAAAATTAAATAAAAATGCAAAAAAAAAATTCTAATAAAAATAAACAAAAAGCAAAGTAATACAGGCTGGGTGTGGTGGCACACACCTTTAATCCCAGAGTTTGGGAGGCAAAGGCAGGTGAATCTCTTATGAGTTCAAGGCCAGCCTGGTCTTACAAAGTGAGCGCTAGGCCAGCTGGGGCTACAGGGAGGCCCTGTCTCAAAAAGGCCCCCCCCCCCCCCCCAAAAAAAAGATAAAGCAGGCAAAAGTCCGACCTGGTCATAATCAAATGTTCAGTTCTTAACTATCCTTGGCTCACCCAAAACTATAAACGCCCCGCCACGCCGAAAACCCTAAAGCCTCTGGGATTACACACTAACCGGTTACTGATCACCAACAGTGAGCGGTCCCACGTGGGTCAGCACCCAGGCCGCGCACTAAGGAACTGCTACACCACCCGACCCCGCAGCAGCCTCCAAACACCCTCTGCTTCCTGGGCCATCCGAGCCGAGGGCAGGAAGCAAGTCAGAAGCATGCCATGCCCGCGGCTATGACCTTTCCTGGGCGCTAAATCTGTCACCTGAAAACCCCTGGCGGAGTGGAAAGGTCGAAGCCCGGGAGCCACCCGGAGTCCGGAGCGAGGTCGCTGGCCGGGCCCACCCGCCGCAGCCCCGCTGGAGGAAGGACGCGGCTGGAGGACGCGCCCGGCACTCACCCCGCAGCGGGCCGCACATCCGCGGCCGTCAGCCGGGAGACGCTGGACGGCCGGCCCGGGCCGCCCGCGAAGAGGCGCAGGTACAGCGGCAGGCGCCGGGACGCCCCTGCCGCCAGCAGCCAGCGCGCGGGTCTCAGAAGGGCTGCCATAGCTCTGCCGACCCTACGGTGGGATGCACGCTCCTGCAGAAGGACAGGAGGAGCACGTGACGGCGGGGTCGCCGGCGTGGGACACACCAGAGCGGGGCGCGCCCAGCGGAAGGGGACGTGCGGACTGCTTCGAAGCTTGCAAGGTGGCACAGACGAGCTCCCTACAGTCTCCGGAGGGAATCCCTGAGCCTCTGTCTCAATCACCGTTTCTTATTTCTTATATGCAGCGTTTCTCTTTCCACAGTTCATCGCCATCCCAGGCAGTTGGGTCAGTCCACCCCTGCGCTTCGCAGTTGGTAGAGTCCAGAGAGGTCGACTCCGCCCAGGTTCGCGCAGGGGGATTGTGGGGGGCCAACTAGGTGCAACCCCGAGGTTCCTCTAGGAGGGCCGACCGTGCAGATCCCTAAATCGGGGATATTTCTCCCTCCCAGAGCTGCTTCTTGCTCTGGCCCTTCTTGCTCAATGACGAAGTTTCTGCCGTAGCTCTCAAAAACGCGGGCCAGGCCAGAGGAAACGTTGGCGACCTTTGGGCCTGTACTCTGGGCCACCAAGGTTAAACAAAGTGATTTGTATGATCGGGGCTGGGGCCAGTGCAGACGAATATGCAGGTAGACCCCTAAGTACAGACGCAGTGTCTCGCTTTATGAAATAGATGGATTCTAACGAAGATCGTGTAGTTTTAAAAGCTGGGATTGGACTTTCTCTTTCCCGCCGCCCACTCCACCTCTGAGTAAGTGCGCCTGTTAGGAAGCATGGTAATAGTGTAATTGTTGGCAGGTAAGTCTGGGGCTTGCCGACTGGAAGAGTTGCCTGTGCAGACACGTGAACGCGTTTTCCTAGCTGTCCCCCGACCATCACCATGTGAACAATCAGATTCTCCTGGAAGTTCTCCAGTGATAATTTTCCATTTGGCTATTCATCCTGCCAGACAACAAACTTTTGAGAGCACAAACTGTGGCCTCTCTTTTTTTTTTCTTTTTCTTTTTTGTAAATAGCAAAAGCACTTAGTTCAAAGCACAGACTCCTTACATTAAGCATATTTTGAATGGATGTGTATTTGGAGATTACTTATTTTACCTCTTTGAGAGAAGAGGGAACTGATACCCACTCACCCCAACCCCCAGAAAAAGGTTTTACTCTGAGGTATACTACTGAACATTATTTTATAGTATAATTTATTCTCTGGTTCAGTGTTTATTTGAGTACCTGTTTTGTGTCAGACACAATTTGAGACCCTGGAGATACATCATCTGGGGAAAACAGAACAAGTGTGAACTCAGCTGAAACTCTCCAAAGTTTAGATTAGAGACAAAGAACTGTGGTGTAAAGTAAATCAGAATAAAGGAGTTGAGAATGGGTTACCATCTGTGATGGTTAACCTCAATTGCCAACTTGACAGGATTTAGAATCACCATTGAAACAAGCCTCCGGGCAGATCTGTGAGGGATTTTCCAAGTTAGTATGGGAATTCCCACACTACAGCACCATTCCATGGGCTGGCTCATTCCATGGGCTGGCCCAGCTGGATAAAAGTTCCTCAAGCTCCTGCTGTCATGACTTTGCCATGATGACCTGTACCGCTAATGAGGAACTAAAACAAGCCATTTTTCCTTAAGACACTTTTCTTGGTCAGGTAGTGTATTGCAGCAACAAACAAGTAACTAATACACCACTTGAACAAAAACCTAAAGGAAGGAAAGGGAGGAAGCCTAATAATTGGAGGGGGGAAAAGAAAGCAAGCAGTTTCAGAGAACAGCAAACCCTAAGGCAAGTTCAGGCATAATCGAATCAGAAAACCAAAACAGACTGGATAAATGAGTAGAAAATAGGGGTGGACATGGAGGTCAGAGAGATACGTGGGAGTCCAATAGTGCTGGGTGTTGTTAACTTGGATTTCTAGAAGGCTTACCAGTGTACATACAGGAAGCTAGCCTTCAGACTTAAGACTTTTTGTTGTTGTCTTTTTGAGGCAGGGTCTCTCTGTAGCCCCAGCTGTCCTGGAACTCACTATGTAGACCAGGCTGGCTTTGAACTCACAGAGATCCGGCTGCCTCTGCCTCCTAAGTGCTGGGACTACAGGCGTGCGCCACCACACCTGGCTAGGACTTAGACTTTTATTTCTAAATGAGATGGACAATCACTGGAAAGTTTGGTGTGTTGCTGTGATATGAACTCTTTTGCATTTTAAAAAATATTTTATTTTATGTGTATGAGTGTCTTGCATGCATGTATGTCAGTGCACCCCGTGCATGCAATGCCTACAGAGGCCAGAAGAAGAGGGTGTCTAATTTTTTTTTTTAAAGGGTATGTCTAGTTGCTGTTTGGAGGGCGGTTGTAGGTGGAAAAGGGCAAATGGAAGTAGAATGGTTCTGGGGCTGCAGAGGTGCCTCAGCGGTTAAGAGCAGCAACTGCTCTTGCAAAGGACCCGGGTTTGAATCCCAGTATCCACATGGTGGCTGACAACCATCCATGACTCCAGTTCCAGGGTATCCAACGCCCATTTCTGACCTCCATGGGCATTGCACGACATGGGTGCACTTACATGCAGGCAATACACTAATATACATAAAATAAAAATAATAAATTTTTAAATGATTTGGATATGGTGGTGTATGTCTCTTCTGTAATCCCAGCACTTGGGAGGAGTATCAGAAGTTGTTAAAGGCCAGCTTTGGCCACATATCAACTTGGCTATGTGAGACTGTATCTTGAAAAACAAACAAACAAAACAAAACAAAAAAGAAAAGGGGAAAAAATACAAGTGGAAGAAGGTAGAAATAGAGGCAGACTTTTTGTAATGTGTACTGTAGGTAGTCTATGAAGGAGGGAGCAGAGGTGTTATCTAAAGAGGTCACAAAAAGCTTTGTTTTTCTGAGGTAGGAGAAATAAAGTAGGATGGCTTAGTAGGTAGAAGAGCCTCTGGCCAAACCTGACAGGCTGAGTTCAGTCCCCAGAATCCCCATGGTAGAAGGAGAGGACTGACTGCAAGTTGTCTTCTGACCTCCACATGCATGCCATGGCACACATGTACCCACATATATATATAAACATACACAATAAATACATAAAATGTAATTTTTTTAATGAGAGGGGCTGTAGATAGGGCTCTGGGGTTAAGAGCACCTGTTACTCTTGCAGAGGATCTGGGTTTGGTTTCCAGCACCTACGTTAGGCAGCTCACAACTGCCGGTAACTACGGTTCCAGGTAATCTAATCCCTTCTCTGACCTTTCCAGGCACTGGCATGTATATGGTACCCACAGAAACATGCAGGCACTCACATATACACATTTTTCTAAAGATGGGAGCAATAATATGTTTAATGTAGTTTAAATATGAAGAAGTTATAAGTATGGGTTGGGCATGGTAGCACACACCTTTAACTCTAGCACTTGGGAGGCAGAGGCGGGTGGAGCTCTTGTGAGTTCAAGGCCAGCCTGGTCTACATAGCAAGTTTTGGGTCAGCCAGGGCCAAATACATACTGAGATCATGTCTCAAAAAAAAAAAAAAAGATTAAAAAATATTCAGAAAGCTCTGACCACTGGTCATGGAGCCCTGCAGCCAGGGGCAAGGTACAGCTGCCCCATCCCGCAGTGGCAGCACCTGGCGGGGGTGGGCGCTGAAGCCTGGAAGCCTGGCAGGAGAGTTTAGAGACCAGGACCAGGCTGGAATTCTGGGAGGCATCACCAGGCAAAAATGTCCAAATCTACAGAGAATGAGCACCTAGCCAAGTCTCTGATTGCTGTTTTCCAGAAGTATAAAGGTAAGGATGGAACAGCAAGCAGCAAATTCTCCAAGACTGAGTTCCTCACCTTCATGAACACAGAGCTGGCTGCCTTCACTGAGAATCAGAAGAACCCAGGTGTCCTTGATCAAATGATGGAGAAACTGGACCTCAACAGTGATGGGCAGCTAGATTTCCAAGAATTTCTAAACTGGATTGGCAGCTTAGCTATCGCTTGCCAGGAGTCTTTCCTCCAGAAGCTCATCTAACCCTCCCTTTTCTTTCTAGCCACCCAGTCACCACCTCTTCCTCCAGCCACAACTGCACTGAGCCCAACATACTCTCCACACCATGCAGTCCACCCCTGCTTGTAGAAATAAAACAATGTCTTTTTTTTAAATGTTAAAAAAGTGTTCAGTTCCTTAGTCAGATTAGCTATATTTTTAGAAACTCAGTAGCCAGAAGTGGCTTATAGCTAACCAAAGAATATTTCCATTTCGTAGAAAATTCTGTGAATGAAATATCGATGATGCTTAAAAATCAGAATACCTTGAGGGAGCAATGTGGGATGGAAACCAATGCAAACAGGAAGGGATTGACTTTTAGAAAAGAATGCAGACTGAGCCGGGAGTGGTGGTGTAGGCCTTTAATCCCAGCACTTGGGAGGCAGAGGCAGGTAGATATCTGTGAGTTCAAGGCTAGCCTCGTCTACACATTGAGTGACAAGGAGACCCTTTCTCTAAAAAGAAAGAAGGAAGGAAGAAAAGAAGGCAGACGTCCACACATTGAGGAAGACTAGGAGTATGGACAGAAATGTGCCAAGACTGGTAGAAGTAATCGTGATAATGAATGGATCTTCTAAATGTTTATCCCTGAGAGCATATCCCCAATTATGATGGCTGTTCCTTAAATGTCAATTTGATGGAATTTAGAATCACTTTGGAGGCAAACTTCTAGGAGTATCTGTTAGGGCTTGAGGTGAGAAGAACCACCCCAAATGTGAGGGTCAGCCTCCCATGGTGTGGGAGTCCCAGGGTGAATAAAAAGAACAGAGTGAGTGGAGAACCAGCATGCACCTCTGCTTCCTAACTACGGATGCAAAATGATGAGCAACCTCATGCATCTGCAGCCACGCCTTCCCCACCATGAAGGACTGTGTGCCTTCTTAAACCATGAGCCAAAATAAATCCTTTTCTGCTTCTGTCAGCTATTTTGTCACAGCAAGAAAAGTGACTAATATACCAACCAACATTCTGCCACTGTGACAGATTCTGTTAGCTATTTTTGTGTAACTGTGACAAAATACCACATATGAACAGCTTTAAAGGAG